CAGTCAGGAATTCCGGGTTCGAATCCCGGGCGGGGACGGAAGTGGTTGGGCACGTTTCCAATTACCCAATGCACCTATTCCCCTAACAGTAAATTGGTACCTACAGGACGTGGTCAGCTTGTTGTTGGGTTGTAGGGTAGGAATGGTCAGTAGTTTGACCTTCGGGAGGGGGGCCTTGATATAAGCCAAACATGTATATAGATACACTACCTGTCCCCCGACACAATAAATGTATTATTACGCATATTTTTTTTACCTTTTATGATGTCGAGGAGGCAATGTTTCTTCTGTTGTTGATGGGAAGGGGGCAGCTACAGCACTGGGCCGTACGCACATCAGTCAATGTTTACACTTTTTGTGTATGGGGGGAGGGGGAGGGGGGAGACTGTTAATCAAATGAGCGTCGCTTGGTGTTATGGTCTGACTGTCGGCCCAGACCCCGTCTTTATCCAGGAATAATAACTACTCCCTCGTGAAGGCTTCATGACCCAACTCATTCATTCTACTCAACAATGGCGTGTCTGGTCAACAGGCGGACATGGGGTCAATGGGGAGGGGGGTTGATGGGTTACACACAGAGATCACACTAACGTGATGCATCAAATGAACAAATCCACAAGGGCCGTGGCGAGGATTCGATGTCTGGGATGCTCCCGGACGCAGGTTCGAATCCTCGTCACGGCCCTTGTGGATTTGTTCATTTGGTTGATGGGTATTTACGCAGCCCGTTCTCTCCACTTCTCCGTAACATATGCAACTGGTTTGCCCAATCAGAAACGTTCGAACCCTAGCAATCGTCGAGGTCAATACGCAGAATACGTTACTATCACTGAGCTTTTTGTTTGCTAAAGTGTTAATTTTTTTAAGGATTGATCGATTTGTGTACACATCAGAAAGTGGTAGAAGTATTTAATTTAAGAAACTTAGTTAATGTTCAGAGAACTTATTTTTTCTTAAGTTTAGAGGTATTTTTAGGTTGATGGGAATCAAAATGTGTGTAAATGTATTCTCTGTTTCATTCGTGAAAATAATAATAAAAATAATAAACAATATGAAGGTTTGAAATTTGAGGTTACTCTGTTGATACCTTACTTAGATGATTGATGACACCTTCATACGTTTAAAGTTTCCTTATTTATAACCTTGACGACTTTCTAGTTTAAGTTGGGTGACTCAAAGTTAATAAATTCGATGACTAACTAATCAGTAGCAGACTCACTTTATATCTGTGAGAGAGAATGTCTGTCCATGAGTGGATGACAGATGTTTGGGGCTAGCCTCACGAAACTTTGCACGGTAAATGGTCTGGGGCACGAGACGGACATAGGCTGGTCGGGGTGACCAGAAATCAAGAAGAAACAGTATGCCAGTCACATGCTGACCCCCAATTCCCCCCCCCCTCTTTGACTGATTTTGGAACTGCCCGCCAGCTATGTCTGGCTAAACATCTTACAAATACAAATGTAAAATCTACTATTTTCTTATAGGAATAAAAAACTATGCACTGATCTTTGGAAAATTACCAAAAACTTTCTGATCATCATACTTTACCCTGGGGAGCCGGTCGGCCGAGCGGACAGCACACTGGACTTGTGATTCTGTGGTCCCGGGTTCGATCCCGGGCGCCGGCGAGAAACAATGGGCAGAGTTTCTTTCACCCTATGCCCCTGTTACCTAGCAATAAAATAGGTACCTGGGTATTAGTCAGCTGTCACGGGCTGCTTCCTGGGGGTGGAGGCCTGGTCGAGGACTAAAGCTCCGAAATCATCTCAAGATAACCTCAAGATAAGATAACCCATTACAGCCACCGGGGCTCCCTGCACATACCATAGAACATGAACTATAACACGGGTTACGCCCGACTAACCCAACAATGCGAGAGACAGGGGCGGAGGTGCCTTGTGGAGACCCATAAGTCAAACGTTCTCCATGGGTCGGCGAGGACGCTGCCGTCAACACAAGCACTCCTTCACCTCCACCACTTCCTCTTCCACGCCCCCAGCTCGCCAGGTCTTGTGAAAATCCGGTCGAATCTGATTTTCAAACGCGTTCGATTTTTCATGAATATATTTGTATATCATTTTTAATGAGGTTTGGAGTTTAATGGGCTGGGGACAGATTCACGAAGCAGTTATGCAAGTACTTATGAACGTGTATATCTTTCTTCAATCTTTGACGGCTTTGGTTACATTTATGAAGCAGTTTACAAGCGTGAAAACTTGCCAATCAACTGTTGTTATTGTTATAAACAGCCTCCTGGTGCTTCGGAGCTCATTAACTGTTTAATAATTGTAAATTAAGCCGCCTAAGATTGAGAAAAGATGTACAGGTTCGTAAGTGATACCTAAGCAGGTACCTTCCCGAAACTGCTTTATGAATCCGGGTGCTGGTTTGTAAGTGCTCGCGTAACTGCTTCGTGAATCTAACCCCTGGACTCTAGCCTCTGGACGGTCGAGCGAAGGACTCGCTTCGTACAGGTCAGTCCTCGACCGTCCCAGCCCGTCCTCCAAACAGAGATCCAAAAGTGATTCCATGCACCCGCCAAACCCCCTGTTTTTTTTTTTTTAATGAATAACAGTTTACACACGACTCACAATTCCTGCGTTCGAACACTTCCGGAACAAGTGCTTCACTGACGAATTTTGTTCGAACCACAACGCTGTAAATGCTTCATCCACGTACTACAAATACAAATAATCGTCAACAGAACCTTAACACCTAACCTAACCTAACCTATGCCTATGCACATAATATTATATTATTACTATTATATGCACATAATATTATATTATTACTATTATATGCACATAATATACATGATATTACTATTATATGCACATAATAATATATTATAGTATTATTTTATATTTGAGAAAATTCCTGTTTTGAATGAGCAGCATGTACAAATTTATGAATGCGTTTGTGGGGTCGACCGCTGGATGTAATGGACTTGAGTCGAGGACGGGTTGACCGTCCAAGTGGTTGGGGTACCATTCCTTTCCTTCGTCCTGTCCTAAATCCTCATCATCATATCCCTTCCACGTGATATTCAGTTGTAATGTCTTAGTGCTTTCTCTTGTCAATTACCTCACCTTGGAGGTAATATTTTAATAATTATTATAAAGCAGAGTTGTAGATGGTTGTTAACATGTACTTGCTATTTGTATTTACTTGTTATGCTTCCAGGATCGGTTCGTTAGCTCTTGGACCCTGTCTTCACACCCTCAGTTGTCTAATGTTCTGATTCCCGACCTATTTTTCCTCTATGTCTGTGTCTTCACCTAGTTGTGCTTGCGGGGGTTGAGCTCTGCTCTTTCGGCCCGCCTCTTAACTGTCAATCAACTGTTACTAACTACTAACTAATTTTTCTCTCTCTCTCTCACACACACACACAAACAGAAAGCAACCCGTGACAGCTGACTAACTCCCAGGTACCTATTTACTGCTACGTAACAGGGGCATTCAGGGTGAAAGAAACTTTGCCCATTTGTTTCTGCCTGGTGCGGGAATCGAACCCGCGCCACAGAATTACGAGTCCTGCGCGCTATCCACCAGGCTACCAGGCCTCCCTTGTGTGCGTGTTCTCATATAATTGTACTTACCTAATTGTGCTTGCTGGGGTTGACCTCTGGCTCTTTGGTCCCGCCTCTCAACCGTCAATCAACAGGTGTACAGGTTCCTGAGCCTGTGTGTGTGTGTGTGTGTGTGTGTGTGTGTGTGTGTGTGTGTGTGTGTGTGTGTGTGTGTGTGTGTGTGTGTGTGTGTGTGTGTGTGTGTGTGTGTGTGTGTGTGTGTGTGTGTGTGTGTGTGTGTGTACTCACCAACTTTTTTCCACTACCGTCAACAGCATGGTTATGGTGTCCAATACCACCCACAACACGGATATGGGGTCCACTACCGCCCGTAACATTGGTATGGGGTCCACTACCGCCCGTAACATTGGTATGGGGTCCACTACCGCCCGTAACATTGGTATGGGGTCCACTACCGCCCACAACGTGATAATTTGGTCCATTACTGCCCACTGCATGGACAGCAGCAAACTAAACTACACTCTGTTAGGATTCTAGGGCTCTCTGCACGTCTGTGTAAGGTCACACCCACAGAGACACAGCTGGCAAGCCACCCCCAGCTCACCACAGAAACACCGTCCTCACAGAGACCAGAGGAACACCATCCCACCATCAATAAAACCTAATCACAATCAATCTTCGTTGATGGTTCCTTGAACACGCTCATGTTGCACGAAGAGCCTCCACACACACACACACACACTACCACTGTCTGCGCTCCACAAAGAGACGCAGCCATAGCCAGGATGAGACGGAGAGGAAAGGCTTTGAGGGAAAGTGGCAGAGGCAGAGGAACAGGAGAGGAAGAAGAGAAAAAATAGGACGAAATATGGCGAGGCGTTGGGAGGGAATTGTAGTAAATGATGGAGGAGGAGAAGGAGAAGGAAGAGGAGCCGGACGTAAGTGATGGTAGGGGGAAGGAGGGAGGGGGGATTGTTGAGGGGGAGGAGGATGGGGGGGGGGGAATAAGGATGAGACAAGAAAGGACGGCCCATACCATGAAAGGGAAGTATTGTTCCTGCCTGTGTTACTGGTATAGCTGAGCTTTGTGGGTGTGGTGGTGCAGGTGTAGTGGTGAGGGTGTGGGGTGTGGTGGTGCGGGTGTGGTGGTGAGGATGTGGTGGTGCAGGTGAGGTGGTGCGGGTGTGGTGTGTGAGGGTGCAGGTGTGGGGGTGCAGGTGAGGTGGTGTGGGTGTGTGGGGGTGCGGGTGTGTAGTGGTGCGGGTGTGTAGTGGTGCGGGTGTGTGGTGGTGCGGGTGTGGGGTGTGGTGGTGAGGGTGTGGGGTGTGGTAGTGCGGGTGTGTAGTGGTGCGGGTGTGTAGTGGTGCGGGTGTGGTGTGTGACGGTGCGGGTGTGGTGGTGCGGGTGTGTAGTGGTGCAGGTGTGGGGGTGAAGGTGTCACAAATAATGAGGCCAATGAAACAAAAATGGCCAAAAAAAGGGTTCTCTTTATTTGTATCACATAATAATTACAGTAATCAATATTACAATATGCAATATGATGCTCATCTTAGCTTAAGGACAAGAAATGATGCATTAAATAGTCTCTATGTGGTCTATAGTACACTATATACACTGTACACTCAGCAGCTGTTCCTACAACCTCTATACAGCTGCTGCCTCTTCCTTATCCGCTACTGCTGCGGCTGCTGCTATACGTCTGCAACATTCTGCACCTTCAACTGCAGCTTCTGCTGGTACTTCTGTTGCAGAAGCTGCAGGCACTCCTTTGTACACTATGCGGGCGTCATGCCCAAATGTTACCCAAGGTGGGTATTATAAGGGGATACGAGGCTCGCTCAAGGGATCATGCATCCAGTGGGCGTGCTTCTGGGCGTATTCTTACGCGGCTACAGTACAGAAACCCGAACTGAAGCCTAGGGAGGCAGCGGAGGCGGCAGCGGCGGAGGACAGTCCCAGACTCCCCAGGCCGCCCGACATGGCCGACATGCCGTGCACGGGCGGCCCTGACATGAAGCCGCCCGCCATGGAGGAGCCGTGCATCTGGCCGCCGTACATGTAGTGAGACATGGAGCCGAACCCGGAGCCTCCAGTCCCGAAGCCACCGAAGCCGCCCTTGTCCAGCGGCTTCAACATGTCCGGGAAGCCTAGCATCCCCTTCTTCTTCTTGGACTTCTGGCTCAACTTGCGGTTCCGGGTCTGGATACCTTCCTTCTTCATGGAGAGCGGCCGAGCCACCTGAGGGAGACAAGAGCGGCCGATTATTCATGAAAAGATCAGTTAAAGACATATTTTACGCTACAAGTTAACATATTATGTTTTAGAATCCACATTCCTTGATAGAAAGCTGCTAAGTATATCCTAGACCATCCCTATAGGTCCCAGCCACGTGGACTGGCTGGTATAGCGACGCCTCGCTTCTTGTAAATCAATGTTCGATCCTTGACGGTCCAAGCTGGGGCACCCTTCTCTCTCTCTCTCTGTCCTATCACAGCTTCCTATCCTCATATCCCAGCTCCTTGTCCTCATATCCCAGCTCCTTGTCCTCATATCCCAGCTCCTTGTCCTCATATCCCAGCTCCTTGTCCTCATATCCCAGCTCCTTGTCCTCATATCCCAGCGCCTTGTCCTCATATCCCAGCTCCTTGTCCTCATATCCCAGCTCCTTGTCCTCATATCCCAGCTCCTTGTCCTCATATCCCAGCTCCTTGTCCTCATATCCCTTCCAAATGCTATATAGTTGTACTGGCTTAGCGCGTTTTCACGTCCGACCGGTTTATAGTTAGCAATGTCCTGTCAAGATCTCGTTACTGGACTTGACATTAAAGATGTTGCTATTCATTAGATCCAAATAAACTGCTTGGAATAAAAGCGTGTAGATTGTGTGGTGATGGAGAGTGTTTGGAGTGCTGGGAGCGTGGGCGCGTGTGGGCGGCGCGGGCGTGCGAGGTCAAGGCAGGATCCTCCATCAGTGTCAGGTTAGCAGCCGTGGGGCGCCACACTTGTCCCCACTGGCTGGCTGCCCCCCGCCCTCCCCCGCCCACACCTTACGTCAAGATTAACTTTAAGGCAGCATCTGCGCCCTCGCCGCTTGCACCCTTACCGCAGGCCGCCACAAGGGATATATTCCCGGCCCTGCAGCCCCCAGCGGGAGGACCATAGAGGCGTCAGGTAGAAGTGGGCATCATTTGAGCGTATTGTGGTGGTGTGTGTCAGGGTGGGTCCCCTGCGGAGGGGTCGCAGCCCCCCTGGGGAGGATCTATTGTGGCTTGCGGGACCCCCCACCAGTGCTCCCCCGCTTCCACGCCCACACGCACCTGAATAGCTACCTGTGCCGCGCCCGCTGGCCTACGCCCGCATCTCACCCGTAGACCGCAAAGTCTAATTTACGCACACAAAAGCAGCATGTCATTTTTCACACCGAGATTACCGCAAGACCGAGCAAGACGTCAGGCTAGGAATGTTAGTTACCAGGTAACTGGTAGGCGTGCGTGAACACACAGGAAGAAGGTAGAGAGAGAGAGAGAGAGAGAGAGAGAGAGAGAGAGAGAGAGAGAGAGAGAGAGAGAGAGAGAGAGAGAGAGAGAGAGAGAGAGAGAGAGAGAGAGAGAGAGAGAGAGAGAGAGAGACCACCTCCTTAATATCTCCCTAATTCATGTTCTTGGACCTCTCCACCCGTCTTTCTATACCTCATCCTCTTTCTATACACCATCACCCACGCCTTCTACACCATCACCTCCTTCTGCTACAACTACAACAAAGCACTACAATCACCTTCTGTGGTTGATTGTTCAATAAATCACTGTCTATTTATTTGTTTATGTAAATTATATGTTTAACAGATCCTCTAACCCTGTCCATGGAGGACGGAAGAAAATGTACATATGCTGGTTAGCATTGTTAATGTGTGGCCATGTCTGTGGTTATCTTGAGGTTATCTTGAGATGATTTCGGGGCTTTAGTGTCCCCGCGGCCCGGTCTTCGACCAGGCCTCCACCCCCAGGAAGCAGCCCGTGACAGCTGACTAACACCCAGGTACCTATTTTACTGCTAGGTAACAGGGGCATAGGGTGAAAGAAACTCTGCCCATTGTTTCTCGCCGGCGCCTGGGATCGAACCCAGGACCACAGGATCACAAATCCAGCGTGCTGTCCGCTCGGCCGACCGGCTCCCTCCCTCCCTCGGTGGTAGAATAATAATAATAATAATAATAATAATAATAATAATAATAATAATAATAATAATAATAATAATAATAATAATAATAATAATAATAATAATAAACCTCCTATACCATCACCTCCTCCTTCAACCCCTCCACCTCCTCCTTCAACCCCTCCACCTCCTCCTTCAACCCCTCCACCTCCTCCATCATCCCCTCCATCTCTTCCCTCCCTCCCTCAAAACCTCCCACTGCCTTGAGAGAAAAATCGAACAGGTCTGTTAATTAGCCTAGTAGCCACGCGGGCATTGAGTTAGAGGCTTTTGGGGGCGGAGGGCCGGCATTGTGCGGGCGTGAGGCGCTGGACGGCGATTGTATTGACCTGTCTACGTCTGTCTGTCAGTTTTACGACCCACCACACCCTAGTTTTGTCATCCACCATTCTCGCGTCCGCTCGGCTCACTTCCAGCCGGCTGAACTCCTTTTGTTGGCGGTGGTCCGAGTCAAAATGAGTCGTTACTTCACCGCTAATCTCCAGAGAGGGAGGGAGGGACCAGAGAGGGAGGGAGGGAGGGACCAGAGAGGGAGGGAGGGAGGTAGGGAGGGACCAGAGAGGGAGGGAGGGAGGTAGGGAGGGACCAGGCAGGGAGGGATAGGGAGGGAGGGAGGGACTTGGCAGGGAGGGAGGTGAAAGAGGGTGGGGTGGCAAGGAAGGGGGGGTGGAAGAGAGAAGGATGGGGTGTAACTTCATAAGTGGAAATCTATGGGGAAGCAATAAGGGGAACTCCACTAATTAACCGGTGTATGCCACTAAACAGGGAAATAATAACAATAATAATAATAATTAATATTATTATTTGTATTATTATTATTATTATTGTTAAAGCATTAATTTTTGAACGAATGCCAAATCAGAGAAATATAATTTCAAATACTCAAGGCGGGTAACAAGGAGATGATTAGTTCTTAGGATCAAAACGTGAAGGATCTTTCATCAAAATATTAACTCTAAGAGGGGTCGTGAATAGTTCTGAAGGCAATTCTAAGCGGGAATTTGATGTAATTAAATCCCAAAATGATAAAACTTAGGAAATATTGTAGCGTAGTTCACAAGAGATAAACACCGCGATGTCACACTCATGAAAATTCCCCATGCAAATGGGATTAAAATTCCCCATGCAAATGGGATTAAAATTCCCCATGCAAATGGGATTAAAATTCCCCATGCAAATGGGATTTACCATGACACGGAAAATGAACTTCGAGCTCAAGGTTAGCCTATACAGGTCAACTGAGAATTACAGCTCCCCATCAATTCTAGAATTAGCCTGTGAGAAAGTAGCTTGAGTCGTGCCATAGGCCATTAATGTGTTTATTTGCACGATCTTATATATCTTTCTTTCGAACAGTAGCTCCCCCTGTGGCGATACCTTCAGTACCGGCGCACGACATCATCAGCCAATCGAGGAGCTGTTCACTTGAGACAGTTAAGCAAGTCCCAGCTGTGTCTGGGTACAAGTGACAGGATGAACAACCCAGCGGGTTTTCTTTCTATTGGGGAGTGTTGTACATGCTGCTATGGCGGTGTGTCCACTCACAAGATGAGTGGCGCTGCCCAATAAACTCGCCCCTCGGGGCAAAATGTAAAAAAATTAAACATCAGCCAAGAGCCCTTTACTGCTAGTGGCGACGACAGCAGTTCGACTGTGAACAAATTGTCTTAAACGTGATTTATGGTGTGAAGACATTCTCTAGATTCCTAAGATCAGGAACGAGATGGAAAAAACAAAGCACTTAGTGCACTCTCATTGGTTTTTCTGGTTTACCCACTGCGTGCTAGGCCTATGCAAAAGAGACAATGACTCTTTATTTTAGTCTGTTGGAATTTCGCGTGCCATTTGAAGTCGGCAGGAAAAGCAGCGTTGGCCTCCGTTGGCCTCCACAGAAAACGGAAGGGATGTGTGGGAGGACTTTAGACGAAGCGAACAAAAAAGGGTCGACAGGAAGCGGGTATCAGATCATCCGTGCATAATGTGTGTCCCTCCTTGAGCAAACAAGCTCCGTCGACCGTCACCGCTAAACTTCCTCCGGCACACACTAAATATTTCCTTCTCCACTTCACTCAGCAACAGTAAAAAAGAAACAAAAAACAAAAAATGCCCCTCTGCCAGACGTCTTGTGATTTTTGGTAATGATGTTTGTCTATTATTTCAAAAGTATTCTTCCATTGTGTAATGCCGTGTCGTTAACAAAGCTCGTTAACAGCGGCATACTCGGCCTCCTCGGCATCCGGACTACACCAACGTCAGGGAGAGGAAATAAGAAGATAAACAAGATACAAAGATAAAAGGAAGAACGCAAGCCTTCCTCGACTTCAACCAAGCCGACGTCAAGGCGAGATGGATTGTCCGATTTCAGTAACTATTCCGAAAAATAAATTATGCTTTCGCCAACGACCCTCTAAATTTCCAAACTACAGCCCAAACTACTTCTTTATTGAAAAATAACAAATTCTGTAATTTGTATAACTATAAATGCGCAAATAAAAGATCGTTAGGAGATGATACAGAGCCTAAGTCTGGGCCGCGGGCGCGAATAGCGAGGAAGTAGCGCGGCGCCAGGGCGGTGTGGTCGTCGCCAGACTTACCAGAAGCATGACGGGGGTAGGACCGTCCCCCCTTCAATGGTGCCACAACCCGCTACACCCCCGTACCCTACACTACACTCCCGTACCCTACACTACACCCCCGTACCCTACACTACACCCCCGTACCCCACACTACACCCCATATCCAGCACTACACCCCTGTACCCCATACTACACCCCCATACCCTACTCTACACCCCTGTACCCCCACACTACACCCCATACCCAGCACTACACCCCTGTACCCCACACTACACCCCCGTACCCTACACTACACCCCCGTACCCCAAACTGTACCCCTGTACCCTACACTACACTCCCGTACCCCAAACTGTACCCATGTACCCTACACTACACCCCCGTACCCTACACTACACTCCTGTACCCGACACTACACCCCTGTACCCTACACTACACCCCTGTACCCAA